AGAAATTGACATGTAGACCCAGACACACAAAAGCACAAATGTTCTAAAGATGTGATACTGGCTCTGAGTGATGGAGAAGTGTTTGATCCCTTTCACGAAGAATAGGGAAGAATAACTTTCATGAGAAATATGAGAAAAGAGTAACAATGCTCTTGAAATAGAGAGTCAAGAAAGACAGAAGTGAGAGAGGTACAACTCATCATCTAAGCCCCATTTGTTTGAGCAAAGAAAACACCATAATGATTAAATACGCCATATCTGGGCAGCAACATACACATTCAACCACAAAATCTGCTTTATAAGGCAGCATTTGAGGAGCCTGTGTGAAAATTCATGCACCATTGTTGTGATAAACTTTTCCCCAAGATGGCTAATAGCCTCCCAGTCACACAATACAGATGTTGTCAATTACATGTGTTTTTTTGTCGGATGACTATACAATTATGAAGTAGTGATTTGATTGAAGGTCTCGGTGCAGCAGCCCAAGAACGGCCAGAGAATATCATCTTGATTATGAGAACGTTTTTTATGATGCTCAATCAAAATTGCACAATTGTCTGGCATAAGAAACAAAAAGATATGTCAATGACAACACCAATGGTGGAAAAACTAAAAGAGGGATCACAGACTTGAGAGTTGGAAGCAGCAGAACAGGCCTTCGTCCTTCGCACAAGCAGGAGTGTGTCTGCTGTTTCATTAGTAAAGGGGAACTGTCAGGACAAGCAAGCTCCTTTTTAGATAAATGTGGCTCCATTTCACTTTTCACATTAGTGTGAGAATGGACAGAATGAATGAATGATGGTGTACGCTAAATTTCATCAGGCTGAATTTATCAGATACAAATTTACACCTGGGAAGTTCTAGAAAAAAGTCCAGAAAAATCTAAATTATTTATGCTTCAAATACTCAACCATCTTTTCTAAAGTTCTTTGGCACAATCACACGTTCAAGCAGCTTTCAAGCTTCCCAACTTGAATTTCAACAACTTGAATGGCAGGCACTTTAACACTAACTTGGTAAGTCTGTTATCAGTTCCATTATAGATACTTTTTATTGTAGTGCACTAAAATCCTGTGTTGTTTTTGGGTGATGTGATAGCTTATTTTTAATTATAATGTCATTATGATGCTGTTAGCTCATTGTCTTGTGCTCCTGATTTGATCTGAGCTGCAGTGAGACAAATTTCTATCGACTTGGTTGACAACAAAACAAAGTCTGAGACCAAAAATCTTGAAAAGTGTGTGTGTATGAACATGCTCATATTAATGAGTGTGTAAAAAAAAAAACACTGCAGCATAAAAAGTTGGTTTTGTGCACCAATTAATGTGCTTTGGGAAAACAACCAATTGGATGCAAGAAAAAAAACAGCATGCAAACAGCTGATTGCAGAGCTCAAATTTTCCTTTCCTCTTGTGGTACCCAGCAGGAGACACCACACACACACCCACACCCACACACACACACACACACACACACACAGCAGACTGGCCACCAAACAGAGCAGCATCAGTGTGTGGTGCAATGAGACAGGCGTCAGGTCACTGGCAGAACCAGTTCTGGACCCGAACTGGTAATAGGCTTGGTCTGGATCAGAAATGACAAATTTGTCGGCAGCTGTGCAGCTTCTGGTCCCAGTGAACTCGGGATAAGCTCCAGAGACTGATACCCAAGCTCTCCACCCGGCTCCATCTCTCTCTGGCCAAACCACAAGGTCAAAAAAAAAAAAACATACTTCAGAAATTAGCTATCACCCTCTTTGCCTTTCTTCCCCAAAATCTATTTATGGTTGGGTTTTTTTTTTATTGGGGGATTTTCAGATGAAAAACTGGTAATGACTTCCAGCATTACAGTTTGGCCAGAGAGTAACGTTTTAAACTCTTTATGCTGTCCTAAATAATCTAGTTGGACAAAAAGAGTCTGATACCAGAAGTGAGATGGAGCACCTGCATATTCGAGATAGCAAAAAACCTACTTAAGACAAAATCAGCATTACAGTGTAACTGTGGGTTCGCTTTTTGTGTTTTACTCAACACACATGTCACTGCCAAGTCCATATTCAGTTTATTTTTAAATCAAAGACAGTGACTGGACATTGAATTAACAGCATGCTGGTACAGTTAGCCAGTTGGCAATAGCAAATTTCTGGCTGTGATCAGCCCTTTAGTCCAAGCATGAAAGCATACATACACGCATGCAAACACAGAGACACACACGCACAGACATACGGACGAGTTGCTGCCCCACTGCGTGACAACCCGTCTCTTGGCGCTGTAATAATCACAGAGTAGCAGTACAGTAAAAACACACGTGGTTTACACTACATTTCTCCCAGCATCCATATGTGTGCCCATGCAAGCATTGCAAGCATAGACATAGCAACACACATGCACAGCCACAAGGACAAACACACACACACACACACACACACACAAAAACATCAGTGTGTGGGTTTCCACTTTGGGCACCAAACCACACTCTCTCAAGTTTTTGCCGTGGTTTTTCTTTCCTTCTCTCTCGTTTTTTCAAATGTTGCCAGGGACCTTGTTCCAAACCCATATGCTGATGTTTTTACAAGACTTAGACACACACACGCACGCACGCACACACACACAGCACCCTGCATTTGGAGAGATCTAGCCCTGGTTGACCTACATGTTGGCAGCAAGGGTGGAGCTGATGGTGAACCTGGACCAGCGCCTTATGATTTTAACTGCTGCCTTCACTGGAGATTTACTGATGGAGACACCAACATAAATATGTTATGTGAAGGTACTTTAATCCAATGTCAGGAACAGTTTAACATATACAGATGAAATGCATATAATTAAGGTTAAGTGTGTGTTTATGTGTATGCATGTGTATGTTTCAGGGAAGGAATGTAAATGTTTTCATAAAGCCACAATTCTTTCATATTCATCCACAGCTGTTTGAGGAGCCATTGATAAGAGTCAAAAGGTTTACAAACAATCTTATATTAGAAAAGACAAGTGCACTGTACACACAAAAACTTTTACTTTAAGAAATATAAGTTTTAAAAACCTTTGAAATAAGAAAAATTAAATAATTTAATTGAGAAATGTTGATTTTATACATAACTTGACTGACTTAGTATATGATTAATAATGGCAGGGAATGATGTGAATGATATTTATTTTCCATATAACTTTGAATAGAAGTAGCCTGCGAATAAAGATAAAAGTGTAATGGACTGTACTGTACTAATGAATCCGAGAAAACTAATAATGACTGCTCACAGCTTCAAACAGATGTAGTGGAATATATTTTACACACAAGAAAAAAGATGCTGCACCTCACAGGCCTTTGTACGCACAGTTTCCATGTTCTATTTGGGAACGAGGCCACAAGTGCTAAACTATGAGAGGGGAAACACACACATACACACGCACACGTATCGTATGTGCACACACCTGTACACACACCAACTCAAACACACATATCCTTCGGGCTGGGCTTTCCTACCGCAGAAATTCTGATGTATAATGTGAAGCCGCTAGACCACTTTAAACACATTCCCCATCGAACAGACTGCACTGCCTCATTGTAACATTCATGGTGTGCACACATACAGTACATACCATGGCATGTGCATGTATATTCAGTGGTGTTCAAGGCCAGTATTAACAGCCACCACCACACTTGACCACACGCAGACACATGCACAAGAAATATGTTCTCATAAGAGACACTGAATCAAAGTGTGTGTGTGTGTGTGTGTGTGTGGAGTACAAAAAATCCACACTTTCATATAATCTCTTTCTCATGCCCATGTCTCTTGGACATATTCATGCACGCACACACACACACACATGCATGGCATTACGTATGTTTGAACAACCGTTTCCTGGTGCTGTGTGCTAGGCAGCTCTGGGTCTGGCTGGAGCCTCTGGGTGATTTGTCAGTTCGAGCCATGCGGGCCAGGAACCCCTCAAAGTTTGCTTTGGGTTCCAGAGGGACACGCTCCGGGACCCCTGAATTCCTGGTATGCACTCTGCTTCACCCTCTGGACCCTCACCCCTGAAATGCATGACACGCACGCACACACACTCATACAGATTATACAGATGTGAACATAAGCATATGCACAGAGTAGGTGTACATTTTCAAAAGTAGACATATTTGCACATTATACACACACAGCATGGGCATTGTTCCAGGCATTCCCACATTGCTTTTAACCCTTGAACCGCTAATGAGTGGATGACAGATTAATCTCAAAACCAAGGCCAGCTAGATAAGTCAAACTGTTATTTCAAAACTTTGACAAAATGACATTGTGATAATACAGCCGAAATCATTCGATTACAGTTTCTTTACTGTTTGGACATCATGTCAGCAGCCTATGCTCAGGATATGGTTTAAGATAGGTCAACTAAACAGATCTCTGAGTGTCTGAGATACAGCATGTCATGCAGATGCAATACTAGATCAGCTTTGAATGGACTGCTAAATGAACTTTCTTTGGACTCCATGGGCATTATTTTCATTAAGACAAAAAATATTAGCAAGCAGCATTTGCTTTGTTTATTTTCTGATTTTTAATTTTCTATTGAACAGTACAATGATGTCTATACATTGATGCATCAGTATCAACAAACTAATAAAGTCATATAGGCCTATAGCCTAATAATAATAATAATAATAATCACTCACAGGAGTCCTTTTACTGCAGATCACTTTGAAACATTAAGTAGGCTGCAGTTTGCTGATAATACGTCTGTATTTGTACATTAGCAGGAATTTGAATAGAAATACTTTTACTTTGTTGTACTGGTACTTTCACTTAAGGATCTGAGCACGTCCTCTCTCGCGGCTTCTCAGAAGAACTTTCTTCTCGCAATGCCTCTGTAGCCATGTGACTCTATTTCCCAGCATGCACTGCCAGGAGGACGTCATCGCGATTCAGCCAATGATCTTTTTCCATACACGGAACTCCGATAGAAGAGGGAAGTTCAGTTTGTTTGTATCGCGTCGTACGACAAGCTCGTCTTCTTTCTCTGAATACATAAAGAATGAGTGGCTACAGCTGACTTATGTTCTGTGAAGACTTGAATTTGATGGCTGTACGTCTTATTTACATGTAAGTCCACATTTGAAGTTTCTGCATTTATACGACTGTAGAGTGATTAATTTGCTAACAAGCTAACAGCTGAAATAACAGCAGCTTCTGGCAAATGAGAAAGAGAAGAAAGGGATGACAATGTGGTGCGTTTATGGAGCCGAAAACGTAGTTTGACATCGTCGGACATATAGCAGCTGTATATCTGAAGTTATTTTGTATCCCTAAATTGAACTGACACGGTGTTTCACCGTGTGTTACTGCAGTAAAGTGGAGGAAATACTGGCATCATGTGGTGTGGTGTAGTCGCTGCAACCAACTAACTCACTAAGGTAGGTGAGTGTTTGTGTTTGTGTGTGTGTGTGTGTGTGTGTGTGTGTGTGTGTGTGTGTGTGTGTGTGTGTGTGTGTAGAAACTATCAGGTAAAAAGGAGCAATTTAGGTAAGTTTGCTGTTGCAATTATGAGATTGTTGACGTTACTTCGGTATGGTCAAATCAGTGTAACATCACTTTCCACAAATTTATCTGTATGTTGCAGTATGTTGTATTAAGAATGGATAAAATGATCAATGATCATTGATCAATGACCAATCAACATAAACGCTGTCTCAATAAAGGTAATAAAATTATATACTTTTCTCATATTCACATGCAACCATGCATTAATACACACCTGAATAAACGAGTGGAGAATCATAACCAATACAGATGCATCTATTAAATGTTGGAAAAAAGTGCTGAAATAGTAATTACTGAAGTTGCAACTAACAATTATTTTCATTATTGATTTAATCTACCAATTAGTTTTGCAATTTGTAGATTTCTTTTATAAAAGGGTGAAAAATGGTAAAATATGATGTCTTCAGATTGCTTATTGTATCTGATCAAAAGTCCAAAACCCAAAGATATTCAGTTCAGTATTACATAAGACAATGTTTGGTATTTGTGCCTGAAAAAGTTCCACTCAAGATGTGTGAAGATATATAAAAATACTTGAATAATAAATTGTGTCCATTAATAAAGTTCAGTTTTCTGGTCAGTCAGGTATAAAGGAGATATTTGGGTTTTTTGTATTGTTTGTATTGTTGCAATGATCTTTTGATGAAACTTCTGAAATGAAAATTATTTCAATATTCATAATCTCAGGATTTCTCAGTAAGGAAGGAGGTAATTTTAAGTTATTCTAAAAGTTGACAGAATGACTCTCCAAGTTTCTGGAAAGAAACACAATTCTTTATTCCTTCACCTGGTGTTTTGATGATGCTGATCAAGAGCAATGTCTAACAAGCTGATCCAAAATCTCCAGTAGGTGTTGAGTTGAGATGTGGTGACTGGGAAAGCCATGGCATCGGTATTGGTTATGTTTCTCTGCTCATTTACTAAGGTATGTATTGACATGTTAGTGGATGTGATATTTGTTCCATTGAAAAAAAATAATGAAGAAATATAGAATTACATTCACTTAAATTAGCTGAACAAAACAGTTCCTTTTATGACGATGATTGAGACAGCCCTTACATTTAATCCAGGTGTTCTTATATATAACATACTGAAGCATACAGAAGTAAATTTGTAGAAAATGATGTTTAACTGATTTGATTATACTGAAATAACGTCAACAATCTCATAATTGGAACAGCAAACTTACCCTTACCCAAAGTCCACACGCTTAGTTTAACAAATCTTCAAAGATAATATTTGACCAGTCACATCTCGTTCCCCCTCCAAAATGTTCTCAGCCAACACCCGAACTGCTGTAGAGTGTGTTTTTGTGCATGTGCATATTTTTTCTGCCTGTGTGACATGCATAACAACTTTATGTAAGTAAAGTGCCTATAACTGTCTGTGTGTGATAGGGATTGTGGGAGAGACTGCTGTCTGCTACTTAGGTATTCAGCATACGGTTCTTTTCCACTTCTGCCTCACTGAAAACTGAGTCCCCAATGCTAGTCAACAAGAAGCGTTTGTTCCTAATTTGTTTGGGCTTTTTTTCTCGGCGAAAATGAGTATTTATATATTCACATCAGCGAGCCATAGGGGATTTCCAGCAGAGACGATGGCAAGACATTAAACAAATCGTGTGTAACGAGGTGATCATAAAACACAACCCTGTGGTGTCCCACACAGACATGTCATTATGGCAAAAAACAACAAATACACACACACACCTACACACACTATTCTCAGGCTATATACAGATGTACATCCTCACACACACACTGTGTGATCTGCCCCCCCACAATTTGCTCTCTATCATCATAAAAGATGAAGAATGTGCTGTTTATTTCTCAGTAGGCCTTCATGAATGTGTGTGTTAGAAGGCTTGATTGCTTAGAGCTTAAAGGTTTGATTGTTAGATTGTGGTAATAAGAGTTTAACAGAACTAGATTAGCACCCTTTAAATTCATTTTATTTCCACTTACTATTACTTCCACTTATTATTGCATTTTCTGCCCCTGCTTTCATAGAAAGTGGTGGTTGATGTGGGCCACACATGCATGTATTAAAGTAAAATTACATTGACAGGATCATATCATTTACATTTACTCATTTGGCAGATGCCTTTATCGAAAGCCACTTACAAGTGAGGGAAAACACTGAAGCTTCACTGCAGTAGGAGACCTTGGTGTAAGTATTAAGTACTACATTTATTCAATTAGTGCAAGGAAATCAGGTATAGCAGTGCACTGGAAATGCCAAGTGAGTGCTAGTTAGGCATGTTAGGTGATAGGGATGTTAGGAGAGCGGGTGTTCTCGGAAAATATGAATTTTCAAGAGATTCTTGAAGATAGAGAGGGATGCCCCTGCTATGATCTGATTTGGTAGCTTGTTTCACCATTGGAGTTGCCTTGTGTGCAGGGATGGCAATGGAACATTCCTTGGAGTAGTAGTAATAGACCCAGAAGTCATTCTGAAGACAAGCATTAGTGACTTGAATTTGATCTGGGCCATGGGTAGCCAGTGTAGGTCAATAAGTGACATGTGCCCTTTTAGGCTGATTGAAGACCAGATGAGATACCACATTCTGGACCAACTGTAAGGGTTTCACTGTGTGTGAAGGGAGGCCCGCCAGCAGGGTATTGCAGTAGTCGAAGCAAGAGACAACCATGGAACAGACCAAGAGGTGGGTGGCATACTTATGTTATATAGTCATCAATCATGACACCCAGGTTTCTTGTGACCTTGGTTGGGGTAAGAGATGATATTGATACCATGATGTAGAGACTGATCAGCCTGGATAACTAAGCGTTCAGTCCTAGAGAGGTTTAGTTGAAGGTGGCGTTCCTTCATCCATGTTATATCAGTGACAACCAAGAAAGCGCTTGCGTCTGTCAGAAAGTACAGATAGCAGGTTGCGTCTTTTCACCATATCAAAGGCTGCTGGTAGGTCGAGCAACATAAGAACCGAGGAGTGCACTGCAGCTCTAGCTGACCTCAGGGTTTGTGGTAGGACTACTACATGTTACACTTTTTAGAGCCTTGCACTCAGCTAGAGGGATGAGTGAGAGAGTGAGCTATCGACCGGTGGAGGCAGAAAAGGGCATGGGAGTGATGTTGAGAGGGGTGTGCCCTTAACCAGGACAGATAGTGTCTCTGGTCTTTTCTTTCCTTAAAGTTAAAGTTGCCCTGTGGAGTTTTCTTGTGAACTAACAAATTTTCTGTTAATAATTACCATTTCTAACCAAAACACATTGTGTGTATCTTTGAGGTCTAACAAACATGTTCAATGTGTTTCCTTCCTCATAAAACATTTGCAAAGCCAAGTTTTTTGAGTATTTTTAATTCTTCATGGTTTACACCCATGTGTCCTAGATAGCAGTCCCCTTCACTGCTTTTGTTAGCACATTGCTGCATTTCTTTGTTAGCATATTGCTCGTGGGCGTGTATGACAAACCAAGCAAGACCCAGTCTTAGAAACATTAATCCATATAGGTGGCCCACTTTTATTAAAAAACTCTGAATTTCTTTAAAACATTTAGGGATGCTGATATTGTACATTGAACCATGTGAAGATTGCAATATAAAATGTTACCTTTGCTCAGCTCTAGCAGCCACAAAATAAAAATGATAAATAACAGATGATAAGATGCTTGTGTTTGTCTGCGTAATCCTTGGATTTGTCTCATTGTGTATCTCACCTAGGGTATCTCTTGGCTCCTAAGTACATTCACCTGGACAAGAAGCCCAATGTCTCAGCTGCAACCACTGATCCAGCTCCAACAAACGACAGAGCCCTTGTTGAATGTCCAGGAGATGCAGTTCTGGCTGGACAAAGCGGTGGCCTGGGGCCAGGCTGACAGTCCGGAGACTCAGAAAGACACTGGCCTGCACTTGAGTAGACTAAGCAGTTACCTCCAACAATTGCTTATACACATCAACAACACGGTAAGCAGAGCCATTATTTTGTAACAATGCAAGCGGAGCTTCCCTTGCATTGTGACAGATTTATATTCCTTAAGATTCAGATAGTCTTGGTTATACACTATATTTTCCAGATGCTTGTTAAGTCTAATTAAATGCTCTATATCCAGCCTGTTTTACACGCTCAACACTTCACCTAATGAAATAAATTAGATCAGCTAATCACTTAGCCCAACCAGCCAAACAGCCGTCTGATTAATGAAGCACTAAGTTAATTCAACCACCAGCCCGTCTAGTACACGCACACAAACATGCACAGGCTCACTCTTAGCCAGAGCCAGGGGCATGAACAGTAAGTCCAGCGTTGGTAGGGTCCCGCTAACAGAGGCTGCTCTGTGCTCTGCAGAGGCTGCGTATGTCTGGCTGGCAGTGCTGCAATGTTGAGTTAGTCAGGTAATAGCTGCAATGGGACCTCCAGCGCTAACCTAATGTATCCCCATATCAGGTCCAGCAAATTTGGGAAGGGAGCAGAGAGCAGGAGTGTTGCAGAACTGTGAGATTTCAGTGTTACTACAGCCATGTCTCCTCTTTCCAGCTCTTGCTCCTCAGGACTCTGTCTCGCTACTTTTTATAACCATTTTTCTGTCACATTTCTCTCTCACATAATATGCTCTTTTCAGTCTTACAGTCATGGTGCTCTCGCAGGTTTTAATTTGAGACTCTATAGTCCATATGTTTTACTGTAACACTCTGGTTAGAATCAGTCTTACGTTCTACTTTATCTCTGCTTCGGCGACTAGCTATATATTTTATAGATCAAGCATTGACTGACTATTATTTTTATCCGTCTATCTCCTTCTCTGTTAGCAGGGTTAGGGTATACGTCATGCACAGAGCGTGTTTAAGACGATGGAAGGGATACAAAGAAAGAGAAAAGAATGGTATAACTTAATTGGGTTGAAATTCTTTTTACTGGCAGCGGACTCATAAAACCCAAGCTGAGGATAGCCTGCTTCTTGGCAGTATTTTGACTTAACAACTTTCCTGTGGCTTATGCCCTGAGATGAATAATACTCTTAGTTATTATTCATTTCCAGATTTGCACTTGTTTACAAAAGTCGAGGAAGCTTTCTATCTCAGTAGTGCCTTTCTTAATGGAATTGTTTGACCTTTTTTTGGGGGGAAATACACTTATTCCTTTCCGTCCTCCAGAAGGTCTGTGTGAATTGGGCCTGAACAAAATGTGAAACAATTTTACTCTCAAGTCTTTGAAATGAGATATAACTTTAAAATTTGTCAGCTTTAGAAGTGCTGATAGGTGCATTTTGGACAGGGCCAAAGTAGCTGTTTGCCCCTGTTTACAGTCTTTATGCCAAGCAAAACTTCTCATGGCTACAGCTTCATATTGAAAGCAGTTATTGATCGCCTCATTTACGTCTCAATAAAAAAGTAAAGAAAACATATTTTCCAAAATGTTGAACCATGTAGAGCTGCAACTGATGATTATTTTTATTTCATTAAAAAATTCTATCAAAGTTTCCTAGAACTCAAAGTGACAAGTCAAGGGAAATCAGTTAATTCTCAAATTTTAGAACCTAAAATCCAACAAATATTTGGTATTTTTTGCTCAAAAAATAATAAATTACTAGTAGATAATCAAAACAGTTGTCAATTTTTTTTTCTCCACTGACTGATGTATAGTCTAAATGTTGCAGAGTGGGTACATGTGCCTTAATGACAACTAGTGAGACCTAGTCACCATAGAAGTCCCCTACTTTATTACCATTGCGGCTGCAGCACAGATGCATTATTACACCACTCCTCAAAGGAACTGTAAGATGAATGGAGAGTATGGGGAAATCTGCAATGCACCCAAGTGTATATTTATGTTCTCACCATAGCAACTTTGCTATTTATTGTTAGGGCTATTCTGATTGTGGCTGAGTGATGTCAGGGGCAGAAGTGTTTCCTCACTGTTCTTTTCATCATTGTCTATAAACTTGTCCCATTTGCCTCCCTTGCTAGTACATTATCAGTCCCTCTGTTTAAGATGTCTGTCCCTAATCAAAACAAGATACATGGTCTCAAAGTCCATTTATAATTAAGGACAATGTTGACAAGGCTTTGATGGTGATTTGGCCCTGGTAATCGATGATAATTGCTTTCTGTTGCAAGGGCTCATTCTTACGGGCATTCCTGCAGTCACAGAGCGCTGTACAGTTCCTATTGTAAATGAACATTCCTTTTTAGTTGCATCACTAACACACAAATGCACATGAATCCTCACACAGACAAAACGTTTACCATGTGTTGTTGGATTGATAGGAGGGCTGAGTGTGAGGGCTGTGTTCCAGACAGCACTGGCGGTGTTGTGGGGGGTGTATAGTGATGGCATTTAGAGAAACTCTACTTTGCCCATTACTGTTCTGCTTTCCATTAATGATGATCTCAGCCACTTGAATCACTCAAGTTAGACTCATTGTCTATCTGATGCTATTTCTGAATATATAACTTCTATATAACTTTCTTCCTTTTCTTCAACGCTCCAGTACTTTAAGACTTGTTTGCTCTTTAATTGTTTCCAATGAAATGAACTGCACCAATGCACTGTTAGCTGCTCCAAAAGATTTATGGAGATCTGTTTTAAAGATGCAAACTGTTCTCTTAAAATACAAAGTCAGTAGCATCTTGTAGACTCTGTGTCTAATTTTCACCTCCTCTAAAGGTGGCATTAATTTAATTAATTAAATTAAAATTATTAATTTCATTTATTGATACAAGTATATAAAACTGAAGTCTCATTGACGTTGATGGGATGATAAGCCCAAAGTGAAGACATGAGGATGAGGAGAAGGAATTTTTTTGAAGCCAAAACAGAAAACCTAAAGGTGATATTTCAGCAGGCATATATCCCATTTCTGTATGTGGACTCCTCCTGCATGAAAGTTGTTCTACACAGTTCAATTAGGTTAGAGGTGAAATGTATGATATAGTCTGTTAATATGGGTTGAATGATAAGTGATATTGTACATGCACGTAAACATGATTCATGCAAAAGTGTGCAGACACACGCTTGTAAATTTAAGTTATGCGTCACTTCTTTCATCTGTTTTCTGTATGTCCAACTGTAGTCATCATATTGTAAAACATAATTGGGTCTGTGTTGATTTATTAAAACCAGGAAAGCAGTCAGGTGAAACAAAACAATGTTTTACAGCTGTGTTTTTACAGAGTTATGATTGTGATGTGCTCTCATTTTTTTCACATTGACAAGATCCTTGATGGGCTGTTTTTTGTGTTCTGTCACACTCAAGATCCTGTAAACCAAGTCTTGATTTTCCATTAATTTCAGCACGCTACCATGACATATTATTGGAATCTGTCCAAACTTAAGTCTAAATTTTTACAAGTGAAAATCATCATCATCAAACTGAAAAACTCAATGTATAGGTGCTCAGGATTAAAGGTTAGTAAAGTTATTAAATGCACTGTCTGTCGTAACTTGGAACCTTATTGATGTTTTAATTGGCTGTGAGGTGAAATAAATCACATTGTCTGTTGTTTTGAGCTGGATAAACAAGCACAGACACACACATACTTAAACCATTATGGCACCCTCAACCAGAACCATGCTCTGCACTGTGTTCTGTTCTCTGTATCTCTCACTTTTGACACCATGGTGAGAATTGTGACATGACTAAAACACAGGAAACAAAGGTGATGCATGAGTAATGTACTGTACACCTGTTGACATGGCTGCTATTCAACTCAGCACCTTCAGTTTTATTTTTTTAGCTCCACTTCTGTCATGTATGAGTCTGATTATGTGCCAAATGATAAAAAAACATCACTGTATGTGCCTTCCACTCAGAGAAATAACCCACTTAAGTTATAAGTGCAAGGTATGAGAATATTCAACATGAAAAACTTTTAATAGATTATTAAATGCATTACCTCTTATCTGTTGCTATCTCTGTTCTGCCCCTAAGAGTTCCACAACAGAAACCATGAAGAGGCTGCCCTACCTTGGCCAGTTCCTGGGCCGACTGTGCTGGAACCCGTATGTCACTGCTGATGGTGAGTGCACCTCCTGGACAGTTTTAACTCCACCAGTAGTGGAGTTCAGTAGATGGATCAGGTCCAGAGTAATGGTGGCCTTTTAATCTGATGTCAGGTTTTCAGAACTTCCTGACAAGCAGAGGTGATAATGATGGTAATGAGGCTGAGATCATGGTGTGTAATGTGTTGTGTGGTGCTGTGTTGCCGGCAGATACAAGCAGAAGGCTGTTGCTCCAGTGTCTGTTGGGACTGTACTCAGAGCACCCAAGCAGTGCAGTGGAAAGAAAAGCCAACCAGTGGATACGGGTATGGACTGGACATTCTCCAATTCTATTAATACAGAACTAAAGGTTACATGATTAATGTGCGACTAGGGACTAGGTTTAGTTATGATACTTTTTTAAAAATATTTTTTATGAGGGTCTCAGTTGTGATCCATGACGGCTTTTACATACCACCTTCAACCCCTTTCTGAGTCACTTCTTTATTGCATGTGCAGTAACTGGTGCATTATCTGTACAGCATTTTTTTTTTTATTGTAGCCATTTTAGTTTAAAGTGAAATTCAGGGGGAAACAAAGTAGAAATAGGGCAAGGATGCACAGGTGGCCAAGGGGTTGCTATATCTGGTTAAAATCCAGTCTGGGGACTTTTGTTGCATGTCATTTCCCATCTCTCTTTACACTAATTTCTCATCATCTCTTTCTGTAATATCTCTAATAAGGGTATAAAATGCTCGAAAAATATTTATAAGAAATTAAGGAATATTTTTGATACCAGTTCCAATAGGATATCTCAGTTTTGGTATTTACCTCATGCTGAAGAATATGTTTTATAATAAGCCAAATGCAAAATGCCTCAATGTTAAAGAACAGCTGTCTATCTAAACAAATAATAAGTTAACCAGACTATGAATCTAACAAAGCCCTTCAATGCCAACTTTTGGTACATGACTCTTTTCCATATTTGTTGCTAGAGACAGATTATTACTGGCACCAAGAAAGCACTAAAACTCGAGACCCAGCTTTAGATGCACTAGGAGGTGCCGGAAGAGTTTATTGTCATTGAGTAAACTTGGTTTATAACAAGAAATAAGAGATAACTTAATATGTTAATATCATGGACAACATTTCTGTCAGAGTTAGACATATGCTTGTTTGTGTTATATGTGTTATGTTGTGTTGTATGTGTTAAATGTTTATTTCTGACAATGACGGCAGCATGAGCCTGGGTCACCTGATACAGAAAAGTAGGGCTACAGAGATTAAAGACATAGTCATAAATTAGGGAAGCCTGGAAAAGGTGGAGACAAAAACCCAGATGTATTTAAAATATTTATTTGGTAATCAAGGCTGTGGTTCTATTCATTCATAACATTATTTAGTTGTAAATTATCTTCTTCCAGTGTTTCATCATATGCCTTTTCTCTTAATTTTCAGACCTGATCTATTTGCTGTTTATTTCCTAATTAGTTCTGGACCGATTTGACATACAGATGAGTTGCCAATTACAGATCATCCCTTTACGAAAACACTCTTAAAAGAATGTCTCTTTGACTGCCTTTGGGCTGCTGAAGAGATTTTCTGTCTAATTTACTTTTAATAGGAGTTCTCTCGCCAGCCCTCTGTGTCTCCTCTCCAATGGGACATAGATGATGAATGAGGGAGATTGGGTCTCTGTTAGTCTAAGCCTTTTGTGCCCAAAACTGTAAAACATATTTTGAAAGGGAATTAAAATTGACTGTTTCACTGCCTCTTGTCACCAGAGAAGGATCAGCCGTTAAATTATGGTTAGTTGATCCTACTCACTGTGTGTTTTCAAGGCACACACACAAAGGAGGGAAGGAGAACAGAGGGAAGTAAAGATCCTGCAATTTTCAACTTTGAGAGGGTTCACACAGATGGCTTATGATAAACAATGTGGGACGTTCACATTTTTGCCAGATTAACTGTGTGTTTGTATTCTTTTGATTAATTTCTCATCTAATAAAACATCTTGCTAATTAAAACAGTGCCTTGAAAGTAAACCTTGAATGTTCCAGATGGTCTTTGACCCATAAGAGGGGAAGCGGAGTGCATGTGTGCATGGTAATGCTTGCTTCTATCTGTGTGTTTTTGTAGCAGCATATGTTTTCATATGCAATGTTGTTTGCATATTGATTTCGTGTGCTTGGAGGGTCGGATGGCGTGAAGATTGACATTAGATTTTTAGCTTTAGTTATGGTTAAATTAATAGTTAGTTGCGGCCCCACTCTAGTCCTTAATAAACATTTACAATCAATCTATGTTCATGCTGCATTTTCAACATTGTATAGAAGTAGTTAATTTTCATGCACTCGTTTAAGTCGGGTTCACTGGGGCCACTCATACTAAAATTGCATGCATGTATTTTATACTGCAGGGCACTAGTTGAAAGTGTCCAAAGAGCACAAGTACAATAAACTCAAAACCAACTCTGCAGCCTCTCCTCATTCTCCTTCTCTTCTCCTCCAAAGAAGCTTCCACTTCCCACAAATGACAGGAATGGCGGGAAGCACAAAAAACCTATTCACCACAGCTCAGCCCGTCTGGGGGAGCAGGGCAGATGTATGGTTTTAGGCCAGAGATGGTCTGTCTCTGTGTCTCTCCCTGTGTCTGTGTTGTGTTGGACCGCCTGTCCTGGAATGCAGAATGCAGCCTGTTTTCTGTTAGCCCTGTCTGATCTCGCTCCCCAACATTGTTTTCTTGCTGCCTCCATAATACACTGAGGGTCTGGTGCTAAGTGGCACATAAATACTGTGTTTGTGAAAAGTTTGTGCATGTGCTCCCATATGTTTGTGAGCATTTGTGCAAATACATGTGTTTCACTGCTACTGTATATACTGTTAGTAGCCACATGTATTTTTTCTCCTTAAATTATGATAGCGCACAATATTTTGCATTTTCTCCCTCATGTCTGCACTTCACCCCTCCCTGCCTGCCTCTCCTTTCCACATCTGAGCGTTTTCTCTGGGTTTGATGAATGCTGGGTACAGCCACGTAGCTGCAGGCCATGTCAGATAGTCATTAGCTCAATCGGTCTGTTTCTCGACATCCTGTACTAGCAGGAGGACCACACAGTGCTGCAGTAACATGGCATGATCTTTGAGGAGATGAAGGATAAATAGAGCATGAGAGTGTAATATTAGAGGGCCAGAGGATGGACACTTTAAGACTTTAATCTTTGATGTGTATCTTAAATGACTCAAACAGGGTGAACCACAGGTAGGGCCTGGAGCTGCTGTGGCTGCTTTATAGTTTTAAAACATGTTTTTAAATCTTTGCTCACATTGTGTGCCATATTTCAGCGCTTTTATTCGGAGATGAAAGTGTCTTTGTCACAATAACACTCCCCCTTCATCTTCTCTTTCTTCTTGGGTGTCCTCCCCTGACTTACTCAAATTATCTTTTAAATTTCTTCCTCTCTTTTAAAAGAAATAGTTGGATATGTTGTAAAATTGACTTATTTCACATTTTGTTTGTTTAATTCATACACAAACAGAAATATAAAAACTACAGTATGTGCTGTAACTACTTCTTGGCTACGAACAGCCAAGAGTAGTAACTTCTGTGTTGTTGTCACTGTGTGCACAGACACTCGGTGGACGGATAAACTGTTGTTCTTTATGCTAAGGTAAAATTATTGCCTCCTCCACATTACTGTCAAACTATCCCGTTAATCTCATAGTTTTACATTTAGTAAAGCTCCAGCTATACTAATGCTACGCCAAAGATAATTAAATAAAAGCTGGATTGGAAACTGCTATCACTCCCAAATTAGGCTCATACTCGGCAAAAACTGAATAAAAATTCCAATTTCTTTCCTGACACTGTTAAAGGTTTGTTTACATTGGTGCCATTTGTAAAAACTGTAGTAAAACCTTTATTGATGATTGACTGACAAACACACAGAAACTGCTGATTTTTGTGTATAAACAACATTTTTAATTTTGTATGTGTTTAAAAAAAAAAAAAAAAAGAAAAAAAAAAGAATACCAATTTCATATGGTCAAAAATTTCTGATTGGCCTTAAATTTGGCAGGAAAAGGCACATACACTTCTCGTAATGTATTCTACATCAGTGCACCAGGTTTGCTCATTTCCCTCATTTTGTCTTCCCTGTTTTTGTCTCTGCTGTTTTGACCATCTGAGGCTATACTTGAGTCTTTCATTGGTTTTGAGAGAATTCAATCATGGCCTAGTAATTGTTAACAGGCACCCATCAAAACCAACCCAAGTCTTTGCCTTGTGCATTTTTCTACATCCTCAGTTTTAATTTTAGATTTATAGAGGGATAATTTCTATGGCAGCAGCATGTCCAAGCCCCCAAAGCCAGCTCGGTTGCTGTGTTCTGTGAGAGAAACATGACATTTGACCTAAAGTATTTGCCATCCATCTCTCCATTTGCCCTTCATCCCATTCCTCTGGCGACCACACCCTTTTTTCCCCGCTCCAAATGCAGCCATCGCAGCACGTTCAAGTCTTTCTCTGCCATTCCTTCTTACTAACCTCTCTTCCGCCTCTTATCCCCCAGCACCACTGTGCCTCCTTACCAAGGGTGGGATAAGTGTGATTGGTTTTGTATGTACTCAATGTGCAGGGTTTGAGGGTGCTCAGATGGTAGTGATTGGGGTTGTTTTGTGAGACTGTGTGGAGGGTAAGCATCTTAGCGTGCTGTAGGGCCTGGCCAAAGAAACCACACAGCTCCACCAAGAGCACTGCAGTGCTCCTCTGCCTGGGAGTTTGTTCTTTTTTTTTTTCCTCCCTCGCTTCTTGTTTTTTTTGTCCTCTTTTTATATATATTTTGTCTTTCTCAATCTCTTTCTCTCCTCGTTTCGTGTTGATCCCCTTTCATCTGTAGTTTGAAAGGGATTTGTACTTTTTTTATTCTATTCTTAGTGGTGTGGATGTTTCTCTGTTTTTGGTTCATCTGAGTTGTAAAAACAGATGTTTGCTGAAGATACGAGGCCCTGGCTGTTTCTGTTGGATCACACTTTCAAACTTGTACCAGTAAATCAACTTATTGTGGTTGAGTAGAGACAACTGTTTCTAAGGTTTAAATCAATCCCTAATTTAAATTTATAGGTCTTTTCATCGTGCTTCAGAGTGAATACCAATGAGGAACATTCTTTTCAAACATTCAGCTTATTAATCATTAGACTACTGAATGCTGTGTGGCATTGTTTTTATGCCTCTGCACCCGTGACAGCCAGGGCCGGAGGCATTTTGTTTTCGGGTCGTCTGTCTGTCCGTTCTATTCTCGTGAACGTGATATCTCAGTAACACCTCGAGGCAATCCCTTCAAAGTTGCCACAAAGGTCCATTTGGACTCAAGGATGACCTGATAACTCACAAATTCATACGCTAATTACAACACAGTTTAACACAGATGTCTATTAGGATAAAATAATGATTTATGACATTTTATATCCAATTAGTTAAAGGTCAACTTCACTGTGACCTTATAATGTTTTGCAAATGCACTTCTGGCTATTATTCAGTGTAACCTAGGAAGAGAGATTGCGACCATATTTCTTGCATTTTGGTTAGCTGGTGGAGGCATGCAACCGCAAGGCAGTAATTCTAGTTATTTTTTGAGAATGACAACATTGAAAGTAAAATAAGCTTCAACCCTTCCTGTGCCCTGGAATATGTATTTTATTTGTTGAGAAAAACATCCCTTTTTGTATTTGTTTCTTTTTTGGAAGCGGCTTGAGAACAATTCCTTAACATTATAATTACAGTATGAGTCTAGTGTTCCCTCTCTTTGTTCCATCATTAGGACTAGCGTTTTTCACAGATGAGAATGAGCAGAGTTTATTAGTCTGGTTTTATCACTGTATGATGAGGCCCCTTCTGAAAAATGCTTGTAAAACACCAAAGCCCTCTGTAACGAAGAATGTTTATTTCTGAAGCTGCTCATATGCTGTCCATACATTCTCACTTACAGGAATGCCTTTTCTCCACTCATGCGGTTCAAATGATATGACGCCAACAGAGTCATCCTATATTCCAGTAACTAATTAGCTTTGATGTTATGGATATTGGGGTCTGGATAGACTGTATTAAAATCGTCCCCTGTTATAGATATACTCATAAGGTACCATTAATCTGCTGTGTTGCCCACCCTCCCACAGAAAGTGTTGTGTCAGCTTGCTACAGAGGATGACGATGCTGCAGCGCAGGCATTAATGAAGTGTGTGGGTGTCCCACCCAAAGAGTACCATCTCAAAGTCCTGAGGAAGGTATTGTCTCTTTAGTCTTGTTGGTCTCTGAATCTCGCCTGCAGTGATACTGTATATACTGCAAGAAATTATGTTGACATACTGTGTGCGTGCTTTGTCCTGCATTTCAGATGGTGGCATCGCTGCAGGAAAACATTGGGAAGAGCTGCAATTCTCTGGGCAACATAAATCAGAGGTACAGCACACTAGAAACTAGGGCTGCAACTAAGCATTATATTAATAATTTATTAATTTACTCAGTATTTTTGTGTTTAATTGTTTGGTCTATGAAATGTCAAGAAAATTGTGAACAAATAATAATGTTTTCATATGTCTTGTTTTGTCAAACCAACAGACCATAACCCAAAGAAATTCAATCTATAGTGAAAAGCAGCTAATTACAAATTTAAAAAACTGAAACTAAAAATTGTTTGACATTTTTGTTTGAAAAATACCCAAACAATTTATCAGTTATCAAAACAGTTGTTGTTTAATTGATTAACTGACAAATCGTTGTATCTCTAGTAAAACATAGCTTCCGCGATAGATAAAATCTTCCCCCACCAATATTATACCCAGCTTGCAGAGGGGTATGTAATGTTATCAAGATACAACTCTTAAGTCTATTTAAATCATTTAGTACATTTAGCTGGAAAAGATCGAAGCACATTAATCCTTAAGGCCCCTAGGAGGTACAGATTCCTATCTTTCTTATCTTTGATAATACTTTGTCCATGTTAACCATCAAGTGAATGACTTTACACAGGTGTTCATGTGACAGCGTTCTGGCAACATCAGAAGCTTGTGTCCCTTTGGTCACTTGTCCCGAGGCTGCTCCTCTTATTGGTGCACTGCTACAGCGGCCAGTGACTTGTGTCAGAGCAACTCTTAGTGAAGATTTCCTGGATGCTCTGAGCTCTGCCTACTCAAGGTAGGGGAACACGGAGGGACTCAGGTGTGGAGTCCCCTTTAGACCATAGCTGTGTCTGAAATCATTCTCTATTCGCTATAGAGCACATTTTATTTATGGCCCATCATTTTATTTGCGGGACCAAATTTTGAGTGTGAAATTTATGCACTATTCAGTCCAGATGTGAAAATTACAGCTGTGCAACTCTGCAGCTGTCAGATGCTGCTGCAAAATGATGATAACTCATAAATGTCCAAAATCTCAAAGTATTGAGTGTTTGTTATATAGGGAATAGTTAATGAGTGATCAGGGGAGGGATTTCAGACACAGTTTATGACTACAAAGTTGTTTCCAAACATATAAACCTGCATGTGGAATATATGCAGTTATATAAAATATATACAATAATATGTATAATGTAAAGTTATGAGAGCTGTTCTTTTTTTCAGCCAGGGTTTGTCATTGGAGGAGCAGGCAGTAGTCTCTCTGTGGTACCACAGCCTGTCCAGCCTGGAAGAGGCAGTGCTCAGTCTGCTGGAGTCTGTTCTTCCTCCCAACACAGGGTCAGCACCACTGACGCTGGAGCAGCAAGTAGCACAGTCCCTGCTGGTGGGTCATTTTTATAATGTCTATGAAAAATCCCAACTTTAACAGGATAAAGTCATGAATTTCTGTCATGTATATGATCAGATTTACCAAAAATCTATAATATGTCTGTAATTTATGTTTAATCAACAGCAAGGTGAGTATTTTAGATTCAGTTTAGGGCTAATTTTTTTTTTTTTTCACTTAATCAAGTAGTCTATGAAATGTCAAAATCTGCAGAAAAACCCTATACCTATTCCTCTTGTTTTGTTCAACGAAGACATTTAGTTTACAGAGATATAGAACAGAAAACAAAAGTAAATCCATTTGAGAAACTGGAGCCTGTGCTGTTTGGCATTTTTGCTTGAAATCAGTTATCAAATTAGTTGCAGATTAAATTTCTGTTGATTGACTAATCATTTCATCTACTAATTGTGTCAGCTCTAGTTTTATTTATAGTAGAAATGTATTGTTTTGTTTCAAACCAGCCCATGGAACCCATGGCTTAAATCTCACATTATACCTCATTTATTCCCATTGAACAACAATTTTCGCAGCGTCTCACCAACTATTATGGAAAGGAAGTATTCCATAGTAGCCAAGTCAAAAGGCCAAAGTTTACTGTATTTGGAGAGCTGAGCATGTGATCAGAAGAGCGCATCTAAAGTGTGCAAAAAAATTCTAATATATGATCTGTGAAACTGTTGAGCTACTAATAATGGCCAGATCTTCACAGTCTGAGATGCAGTGAAATGTGTAGAATGTTGTGCCATTGCACTGTGGCTTTTTCTGCAATTTTACTGCTGCATGAGTTGGCAGCGTTTAAGACTGTTGATAAATTGGTGACATACTGCTGCTGGTAAATGGGTTTGTTATGTACATAGTTTGACTCATCTGCCCTGAATTATAGAGTCTCACATCAGAAAGCTTCGTAGCTTTTCTAAACTGTGAAACCAAACAGTTTGAATGTAAGCCCTGCTCATTATATTGTGAGATATGGAGTTGTGCTGTTTTCATATGCATAATTCTTGGAAACATTCCATTGCTTTTTTGGTTGGTCTTTATTGACTGTTTTTACCTGGCTGACTTGCACCAGTTGGCTTTGCTCTGCATGCATCTCACATCGTTTGGCTAGCTCTAAACTGCGTCTCACATCATTTGGCTTCTGCTACACAAACTTTACTGTGCTGGGTAAGAACTGAACTCTCTGTCGCTTGAGTCCTTGGCCATTCCTCACTTCAATTAACTTAAGATCATTCCCAGTTCAAAAGCCAGAGGTGATTTTTGATTTGTAGATTGTTATGACTAGTTATTGAAGATGACGTCCTCATTACTACAGTGCAGTCAGCAAATAACAACAGTGACTTTTGTTTTTTTCACAAGGGCAGCTTTTTATCCCACTTGGAACATGATAGACAAATTAGTGCGGCCACTGTGATAAGCAAGGATAACAATAATGTAATTAAATGTGTCACTGAAACTAGACGGTTCAAGAAAACTAAGACAAAACTCTGAAATTAGATACGTCTATCAGAATCTGGACCCATCTCTAAGGTAATTCTTCACTGGGAAGGCATGACATTAAAATACAGAGGAGGGGAGCAGATTAATCTATGTAGACATGCTTTCTCTGATTGTTTGTGCCAAACTTGTGCGCCCAGTAATAAAGCACCTGGTGTGCACAGTTATGAATGGCATCCTGTTTACCTAAGTTACTGATTGCATTGCCTTCGGTGGGTATAAATGTCAGAGAAACTCGAGTGGGGAAAAAGAATTTACCTTCCTTCTTGCCTCATGTTAACTTAGGTCAAGTTTGTCAGTTGTGTCACTCCTGTTTTCCCAGAGTGATGGTCCACTTGAGCTGTGTACATAACAGGCTAGCAATGCACACTTTTTTTAGTTTAGGAACTGTTCTCAAAAAATTAAGACAGATTGGAGCACACCGGTGTATGAATTAGTAACACTGCATGTTCAGGGATATGCCTGCCTGTTGATTGCACTTGATTCCATCATCTTGAGTTTGTAGGAGCTACTAGGTTGGTAAGACGAGTTATGTAAACAGTCAAACTAATTCTATGTATGTGTGTGTGAGAGAGAGGCAGAGAGACTGTTTACTTCTCTGTCCCGTCATGGATCTATTTGTTTCCCTTCTCATCCATCTCTGATTGACCTCTGTTTTTATCACCTTGCTAGTTCACACGCACATGATGTATGCATGCAAACCTTCACACACACATGCCTTCAGTCTCCATGCCTTTGTTTATGATATTACATCTGGTATAGTGTGTCTGTCATTAAGAGGGTGGGTGGCATACGTTTAGGTTTCACTTAGCCTTCAGGTTGTTTGGATGTCAGATATGCGTTTCATGCGAGTGTCTGTGGAGGCGAGTCTCTGTTGCCATACATGTGTTCAAGACCAAAAAAAAACAAAGGGGCGTCTGAGCAGACTGGCATGTCTCTGTTCTCGCCTCCCTTTCACTCACTTGTTTAAACTGCAATCAAAAATGGGAAACATGAAATTAGGCTCACATTCCTCATTTTGGCTTGTCCCATCCCCCTGTGATCCAATGAGAGACGCAGGCCCAATAACAATAAATACTCACTTCCTGGGCCTGACTGCCAAAAACAGGATGTTTGTTGTGTGCTGTAATTGACCCTCCTTGAAGTGTTAGTGGTAAGGTATGGAGGAGGACGCTAAAATAACCCATCTGTTTTCACTAGGGGAATCGTGACAGTTTGCACACATGCATGTACGCTGGCATCCAACCCACATATGCAAGTTGACATACATGAACCGAATGCCAGTGTATGTTACATGTAAAACGTGCTTTGTTTGTTTAATGCTGTTTTTTAGCCTGAGAGGACAAAAAAGAAACAGACATGTCAAAACTGAGAATGAAAACACTTGCTTTGTTTGTTGGGAAATCGTAATGACACTATATAAACACTGGGTGGGGCTGTTTGTTCTTACTGTGACGGTAATTGGTCTGGTACTCCAGCACATAGTCAGTTGCGCAGTTACAAGCGTGCCTGGACTGGAGGGAAAATGCCCTTTTATAAAACCAGGTTGAAGCTAATATATACCAACATCATATCATTGTAAAATACCACTTACCATTTCTAATTACTCACGCCAGTGGCAGCTTTTAATTGGCTGTGGGCAAATGAAATAAATAGAAAAGCTCGCTCATGTCCGATTCTGGCCCTCCTTTTAATGTTTCTACTGCCTCATTACACCACACGATTAAAGCCTTTAAGGTAGACCCAGACTGCAGACTACACACTCTCCCCCTAAAGTGAAGTGCACATCCCTATATAAGAGTGTGGGAGGGGGATGCAAGGGAGAATAATTAGGGCTAGAAGATATGGGGGGAAAAAAAAAAAAAAAAAAAAAAAAAAAAAAAGGGAGAGGGAGAGGGAGGCAGACATGAACAGTACAGCTGTTAAATGTTTGCACTGGGGCGTTTTAGAATGTGTTAAATCTAAAACACATGATGAGTGTGCATTAGCAGAAGGTGTGTGTGTGTGTGTGTGTGTGTGTGTGTTGTGTGTGTGTGTGTGTGTGTGTGTGTGTGTGTGTGTGTGTGTGTGTGTGTGTGTGTGTGTGTGTGTGTTGTGAGAGTGAAGGAAGTAAGGACTGACAGAGTGGTAAACTGAGTGGTTAATGGGGAGAGTGAGAACTGAGGCACCAGAGTGTGGAGGTTTGTAGATGATGCAACAGTGACACCCAGTGGTCAGTTTTTAGGGCAAACACTTCTGCACTCTTTAAATTGGTTATAATGGCTGATCTGTCTGATGATTTGTATTTTTTGTACTTTCTGGATCGTTTGTGTTGGAGCAGTTTAACTTTATAGACTAGTAAGATTTGTGTTTTTGTGTGTTTCAGCCTAAAGCCTGTGCTCAGCACTGCTCAATATTCTTGGTTGTAAATGAGATCTTCAGGTGAGTGCGGGTGTGTCATTTGGAAGTTGCTGTGTGTTTGAATGTAACATGTATGATGCTGAAGTGTGCATTTCTGTATGTTTGTTTGCAAATTCTATTGATGTGTTGTTCGGGAATGCTACATATATTTGTGTTTGTGTCTCTGGCAGGTCTGTCCTTAAGCAAGCAGAAGGAAACGAGTGTGTTAAGTCTCTTATCCAAACCTTTACCAGCTGTTTCCTCAAGGAAGTGGCGCTGCTGCAGCCTCAGGTAGTCCTTGTTGTTTCAACAAAAGATCCAAAAGTCTGACATGACATCAATTAATCTGCCCATTATTGATTAATCTTTTGGTTCAGAAAATATAAGAGAATTGAAATTCCTTGTTTTTCTTCTGACCAATAGTCCAACACCCAAAGATATTCAGTTTATTATCAAGTAAATCAAAGAAAAGATGCACATTTGAGTAATTTTTTTTTTGTATGTTAAACAAATAGTAGATTGTCAGAGTTGTTGCTTACAAATTTTGTTTTGATTAAGAGTCTAATCGTTTCTGCTCTAAAATTTCTAGATTATAAGAGGTCTCCTAAATTGATTACTATGTGGAGAGACAAAATAAATATCCATGTTTTCTTGTCACTGCTCAAGGTTTTTGCCGGTTGAAGTCTAGTGTGGTTACAACCAGCAGAGACACAATACTAAGCATTTAACTTCTTTTAAGCTTTTTACTTCTTGGACCCTAATCTGTCACCAAACACTTTTATCTTTCATATATCAACATATTTGGGGCCCAAGGCCAACCGTTTTTATACTGCAGTTTTAATAATGATAATACTGATAACGTTGTAGGATTTTAAACCTATTCCTTTTAGCACTCAGTGTCACAGAAGGACTTCACCGATTAATAACTTTTATAACTTTGAAATTACCACTGATTCTTATCCACCATGTGCCCTGGAAATGAATGAATGGTTACTTTTATGCTGCAGGCTTAGATGCACACATAGGGCGATGAACAATTTCCTCCCCTCTGCAGGCAAAATCACTTAACATTTGATGAATCCTCCACATCATTATCACTTGATCTCCAGCAGGGAGCTCACTGCTCACACTACACACACCATGATTCACACCTCTGCCTCGTAGACAATAAATGCAAATCGCTTTTAAATCATCAATTTGGAGGTAATAACTTATCACCCCCCCCACAGATTCTCTCAGATATACACAAGTCTGTTGTTGTATAGAGCTCCTCCATCAACACATTCTGTAACTGTGACTGTAGGGAATTACTTGACATTCGCATTTCAGCCATTACTGGTAAAAGCCAGAAAACGGATGTGTAACGACGCAGGTGTGATGTATGACCTGCTACACGGTTTTGTGAATATAGCCCAACTCCTTTTCACCTCAATTAACCAGTAGATGGCAGTGCTACTGTGTATTTACAGTAGGCTCGGTTATAATGGCTGTAGTCACACTGCACTAAACGCTACCTATTACACGCTACATTACACATTAGCACCTACTGTATCACCATTACACAGCCTCCCATTCAAAATGTCATTTTTCAGGCTTTCAGAGCACGTTGATGTATGAGTTCAAAGTAAGTGTGATATACATTTATGAAGCTCAGTAAAAAAAAAAAAAAAAAAAGTGCTTTGTTTTGTTTCAGAAGTGTGCATCTTTGAAGATGTTCTTCCCTCAGTCACCTCAGAGTCTGTTGCTCCCTCTGTTGACCCTGCCGTCAGGTCAGTGTGCGGCCACACTCCTGCTGTGTGTGTTTTTGTCTGAAACACTGTATTGTGAGTATGAGTGTATTCAGGTATTCTTTAACTGTGTGTAAACAGTGTTCCTGCTGCAGAGTGAATGGGCTCTTGTGTGTCTTGTTCCTGCTGATCAATAATAGTTAGTTAACAACTTTGTTCTGTGTTTTATGTCTAATATAAAAGCTGACATGATGGGGACAAAAGTGAAGCTTACATATTCTCGAAATGGGTCAAGTGTCATTTCTCATGTGGAATCTATGCAGAAGTATAATGTGTTGCCTGTTTTGTACAAGCTACTATTCATTGTAAATAAACGAAGCCATTGATCGTCTTACATAAACACACTAATACACCTTTTTATTCCTCTCATTAAGAAGAGTCAATATCATCTATACTGAATATGTATTACCACTGTTTATGTATGAGAATCTTTACTAGTGAAGGGATGCACAGTAGGTGAGTGCAGGGGCACAGAGGAGCAGAGCTTATCAGTGTGTGCCCAGACTGGCCTGTAGGCAGAAATGATTTACATGAATGGAGCCATTTAGGGACACACTGGAGCCAAGCCAGAAGTCTGAGTTAATTATTACAGTGTGTGTGTGTGTGCGTGTGTGCGCACGCATGTGTGTGCGTGCATGCGTGTGTGTGTGTGGTGAAGGGCAATTTTTCACCAGAGGTTGAATGGAAATGGTACTGTGAAAAGTAGAAGATTTGAGTTTTTATCATGATTTGTGCTCCCTCTGAAAAAGTTATAAATTAAGACTGAGCATTGCATTGTTAAAACATCGCCTGGGGGGAAGACCTGGATCAAGATACCAAGCATTTGAAAATGTTTGTTAGTTAGCTTGTTAGTCAGTTAGGTGGGGTTGTAGTGCAAAATGTGGTATGTCGTAGCAAAGTTATTTTTAACAGACAATGTGGCATGTGACAAACACCACTCTGGCCCTTTAAGCAGTTAAAAATAATAACTGGAAAACAGGAATAAATAATAGCAAGCACTAACAGAAGTTCATCCAAATGCTTGCAAAATACTTGTGCCTGATATTTGGAAATATGTCAGTTAAAGTTATTTCACATGCAGAATCTTCTTCTGGTACCCTCTGGGCAGAAGTAACTTCACAATCTTTTGTGTGTGTCTTTTATTTGGAAAAATTTTCTGCATCTTAACATAAGAATGGTTAGACATTTTAGGAAATACTCTTATTGGCTTTGTTGCAGAGAGTTAGATAAGATGATTGATACCACTCTCATGTGTGGACAGTAAATATGAAGCTATTGCCAGTAACCGGTTCGCTTAGCTTAGCATAACGACTGGAAACAGGAGAAAACAGCTAGCTCAGCTGTGTCCAAATGTAACAAAATCCACCTACCAGCACCTCCACAGCACATTATGTCTGGTTAGTTTAATACGTATGAAAATAAAGCTGAAACAAGCTTTTTTTAATACCAAAAATTCTCTGGTTACTGGATTTTTGATCTTGTATGATAGTTGGTAAAGATTAAACAAACGTGATACACACGTTTCTGTGTTTCCAGTCTTCATGCTAAGCTAAGCTAACTGGCTGCTGACTATCCTACAGATATGAGAGTGGTATCAACCTTCTTATCTACCTCCTGGACAGAAAGCAAACAAATATATTTCCTGTAATCCTGATCATTTTCTTTAACACTGACTGGTTAACTGGCTTTGAATAATGTGAATACTAATTGATTGTACAAGCTGCTTATTGTGCTACAAGTAATCATTATGTCTGTGTGTCTGAATCTGTTCTTGCAGAGATGCCACAGGAGGCTTGGAGACATCACCTGAACTGGCTCAGCAGCTCATTACAGAGACTGACAGAGGAGGAAGAGGAGGGAGACGGCAGCAGTGGCACCAGGTTAGAGTGAGAAAGGCTCGTAGAGAGAATGCGTTAATGTGTGTCTGCTTCCACCACCCTACTGAATGCCTGTGTGGTGTTCTTATTCCCATTAGTTGCTGTTGAAGGGGTGGTTAGTCAGATATTTTCCTCTTGCATCACAGCAGAGAGGTCCTGGTGCACTGCACGGCTCCTCCAAGCGCTCATTAGAGACTATTAGCTTGGGATAGAGAGAGCTGTGGAGAAAACAAGTGTTGGAAAGCCCAATAAGAGTGAGAAAAGGAATGCAGAAGAAGAACCAGAGAAGCAGGGAGAAAGTGGACAGAGGAAAAACATATTAGCCTGACATAGAGAAAAGCAGAGAGTAAGCAGCCTTGGTTAGACGGATTTAGAGAAAAAAGAGGATAGAGGACGCGGATAAAAAGCAGAAAGCAGTTGATGTCCTCGAGATGGAGACAGCTGACTTGATACCCTCCAGCTGCGGTTTTTAACAGGGCCCATTATCCCCACCACTGCTCCTTTCTGGAGCTCCATGCAAAATTCCCAAAACATTGTTCCAAGCCAGCGGTGGGAAAGTAGTATGTTGTGTTGCTCTGAGCGAAGATGCAGCTGCCAGGGCCCTGCAGAGGGATGTTGCTGGTCGTTTTTGGGAGCCAAGGAGGAAGAGGGGGAGATGAGGAGGAGAGCTCTAATGATGGTATTAGGGAAATTTGAGAGAGAGATCTATATCACTCTTCTAAGTCATAGCCTCACTGTTGCAGCTGTGTAGCTCTGTTTCACGCTGTCTGTCTGCCTAAATCTCAGTCCATCTTACATTCTGGTACACTTTTACATTTCACAGTTATCCATGACACTTGTGAGCTTTTATTTCACTTCTTAGTTTTTAATTTCAGCAAAGGGAAATGGAATGCACAAAGGATCTGGGAAATATTTTGCAATTTTGCTTGAAAAACTTGAAAGACCTATCAGTTATTACACTGAATAGTCATCTCAACTCTAGTCACGTCCTTCCTTTTGCTGTCCCACTTTCTGTGCTGCCATCCCTTACTCGTTTCTGGAAGGACTGCATTCCACATCTTGCAGTATTAGGGGAATAGACAGTGAAGTGTTGTACATTTAAATAGACATGCATTATAAAGAGGTTCTATTAGGGAAAACAAATTTTAGGTTGGAAATGCTACAAAAGGATAAAACTGATGCTCATCACTGTTTTCTGATTGTTTTTTTTGTTTTTTTTTTTTATGTGATGAAATATCACCCGTTGAAAGAGCCAATCACAGCTGCCCCTTCAGTGTGATGTCACAGCTGGGAACGAATAATGAATTTCAGTATCTAACTGAATCAGATCTGTATAAAAGCTTTGTCTTTCTTTGATCATCCACTGCTCCTGTCAGTTGGGGCGGGACTAATATTACTGGCAGCCACTCAGAGTCGTGGCTCATTAATAAAGCTCTTGTGATGTAAGTGACCCCAGATGGCCTGTTATTAGGGGGTTCGTGTGGCACACTGGAAACCAAATGGTTTTATGAGAATGTTGGTGAAAATATCACAGATTTGTTTTATAGAATAGAATAGATATCTGTTAGCCTCATATGCTTGGTAAGTCCCAGTGTGATGCTGTGTTTGTAACTCACCATTACAAACTGAAATTGAAAACAAGATAACTGATTTGACAAAAAATCCTTAACACAAGGTCCACTTAATGTTTTTAGTCACAGCTTTTCAGTCAAGCCTTGACATGTGGATTGACTTTGATCAGTTGTCATGTAGAAGGTTTCATTGTTATCATGTGGCCTAAGTATAAAATTTTGGACACGTGAAACTCCATCTGTTGATGAAGGCCACAAGATGCATCTGAAAGATCTGGAAAAAAACAAATATCTGGAGTTTGTGATAAGATTTCTTTTTTAGTCAAAATGCTGTTTCCAAGGGCAAGAATGGATTTTAACCTCAATATAATTGATGATTTTTGCTATAAATTTTTCAGTTACTTTCTAATTGCAGTCCATACAGCTTGTGCTCATGTAATTATGTTCTCTGGTTTTCTGCAGTGTCATTTGTCATTTCCACAGCAGCAGCACAGAAGAATCCTTCAGATCCCGTGTAGCTGTAGTGCTGAATGTTGTTTCTCCTCCTGTCCTGTAGGGGGCACCACAAAGTATTCGAGGCCTGGTTCCTGCTGGTTCGGTGTGCCCACTGGGTGCAGGTGACTGTCCAGCTGCTGGGAACATCAGGGCATGAAGACTGTGGCCCCCTCCTGTGGCTGCTGACCTTCTACTACCACCCCACCAACAGGGGGCACCACAGAGCTCTACAGCTGGTAAGATAAAAAAGTTCTTTTTTTTTTTTTTTAGGTGTTTTGGAGTCATGCACTAAATTTGGAACAAGCTGTGTGGGTGTGTGTGTGTGTGGGTGTGTGTGTGTGTGTGTGGTGTGTTGTGTGTGTGTGTGTGTGTGTGTGTGTGTGTGTGTGTGTGTGTGTGTGGCAAAATGAAAAGCATTTTGGATAAAAGTGTTTATATAAATGTAGTCAGAGCCATTCAGTTTGGTTTATGACAAAATGCCTGCAAAACTCATGACATTCCCATCAGCTTGAAGTATGCTTTCTGTTTCGTCCTAATAAACAAATTGTAGCATGCTAAAATGCTAAACTAATATCTTAAACATGGTAAACATTAAATATGCAGCATAGTAGCCTCAGTGAGCTGCTAGCATGGCCAAAGACTCTTAAAATTAGTTATTATCTTACTGTGTTGTTGCCGCTTGCATTAGCAATGCTGCTAAACGATGAAAAACAACTCTATATTCAGGATTATTTGATGTGACTGGGGAAAGCAGTGGGTATATACTCTCAGATACTCTGACTATATCATGCGCAGCAACATAACAATGTGGATGCCCAGTTATTTGCTCCTGGCAGGTGTGTCTTCAATGAAAGCCACAGAAGAAAAACAGAGAAAGAAGAATAACACATTAAAGAATAAATTATGGATGACCCCTATCTGAGAGCGAGAGAGTGAGACAATGGTCGAGAGAGAGTGATACAGATGAGGGAGGGGAGCTGGGTGAAAAGGGTGATGTAGTATTGATTTCTCAGTGACTGTCTGGCCAGCTGGCCTGAGTTTCATCTCCCTGTCTCCTGTTTGTCCGCCTCCTCTCATAACCCTTTGAGAATTGCTTTTGTCGCCGCCGTTTCTCCCATTACATTAATGTTCAACTCACACAGGGTTGTATTTGTTCATCATTTGTGAATTATTAATCTATTGATTTTTTTTTTTTTTTTTTTTTTGCAGGAAGGGTAGTTTAACCAATGCTCCTTGATTCCAGTGTGGTCTATAAATAAACATCTGCTGACCTTAAATTTATTGTATTGACTGTTTCCAGGTACATGTCAGAGAAGCGTGGGACCACCTACGCTCCCTTTTCTTGGACTTAACTCATCCACTTTCTGTTGACCACCTGCAGTCAATGGTCACTCTGCTGTCACCACACCCTCAGCAACCATCACCGTTTCCATTATTGATCCTCAGCCTCTTAGTCAGCTTTGCTGTTTTCTCCCAACAATCGCTGAGTGGATCAACACAGATTTTACAGACGGTGAGGAAACAATCAGTTATCTTACATACATTTTGTTTTCAGGTCTGGATGTACATTAAAGGTTCCATTTAAGTGAAAACAAAAACTACAGCATCTATATTATATTTTTAAATGCAATATTCAAATAAATGTGACATTTAATACATCACAGTACACACACTTTGGGAAATTGGGGGAAAAAAAACACACTTTTCTTTTATTTCAGGCTAAATGTTAGTAGAACTCTGTGGTGAATATTAACTGTTAGTCAGACTTTGGTTGTTAGTGGTAATTGTGGGTTTTCAACATGTTCTTTATACAAAGTCTCTTTCCATGTACACCAGATGTTTGAATGTCGAATGGGCTCTGATTGCTTAGATGTGGATGTATTATGAAAGACACAAGCATGAGATCAATTCAGTTTAATTTAAAGTGCATTATCTGGAATTATTCAGTGTGCTGTTGACTTTAGTAGAATACATCACAAATAATCAGTCGCTTTTCTTTTTGAAATAATGCCTTTTCAGATAGTAATTTTGCTTTTCCTGGTAAACCGTTTTGACCCTGTCACAGCCAATGTCTTTTTGTCTTTGCATATGTGTATGTGTGTGTTGATCGGTCCAGGTGGTGGATCAGTCTGGTCTGGTTGATGAAGCAGCATGTGTTCTCGACTCACTGGAGCTCAGACTAAAGGAAGGAAGCTGCTTATCAAGCGTCACTAACAGAGTTCATCTCAGGATCAAGGCACTTCAGAACACACTAACACATATGCATGCAGCATAGAGCCCTGCTGAGAACCCGAGCGCACGCCTCACACACTCTGAAACAGGTGAGCGCGCATACCCACACACACACGTGCACACACACAGACAGACATGCATTAATACAAATAAGCACACAGCAGTGAGTTCATCCTCGGCAAAGGGGTTTTTTCAGGGCACGTTTGCAGAATGACAAATAGCCACGCTCTTGTGTAGATATGCTCGGTACAATGACAGGAGTGTGTCAAAACAGCACAGGGAGGACAGATTATGTGGAGAGGCTACAATTATATGCACACACACACACACACACACACACACACAACTACAAGGCCCACAAGGACATTTGAGGAGTGACAGATCACACGGCAAAGAAGCAGCAGCGCGTACAATGTGTCAGAATCCTCCCACTCATATAATTGTCTCACAAAATAAATCCTTCACGCTACACATGCTGACTGCAAGACATTTAGGTCTGAAGGAAAGGAAAACCGAATGCTTGTTATCTTTGTATAGATTCTCTTTGTGCTATCATATGTGTATATGAAAGGCGTATTCCAGTAGTACAGAGTATATGCTAAAATGTGAATAATGAAATGTAATGTCACTTATTTTTGTATGTACACTTTGTTGTTGTTGACTCTCGGTCATTGGTGTTTGATGCAAGATATTTAAAATGTAACATTTGAGAAGGATAAATGGTGTTAAACAATTTGACAAAACTGAAAAGTCCAAATATGATCTTCCTCCTCCCATCACCTGAGCAGAGGAGAAAGATGTAGTTGTTTTCTATACATATACATTTTTTTAATTGATCATTAGATATAGCTGTCAACACAACAAACACCTGCCAGACTTCATAGATGTAAATGTATATTGTAGCATAAAGAAACTTTGAAGCACAAATCTAATATCTAATTTTCTGCTGTGGTTTGTGAACAAACAATATGCTTGGATTTCACTCAACGTTATTTTAGGAATGCATTAAATAACCAATGTTTAATTTAGTAATGCAGACATCTATGAAATGACAGTCTGGCTATGACATTTGTAGCTAGTTTGCGTATAAAATCAGTGTAATCGGCACTAACTTTGCTTCTGCAGTGATGGACTGAGCTTAAAAAAGTCATGTATTTATTTTAAGAAAACAATTTTATTTTAACATGAACATTTTCACTTAAAATGATACAGAAAAAAAAAACTACCATTATTATTTTCCACACAGCACTTATAAAACCATCATTTACACATTTAGGAATTCCCTGAAAGTTGTTGATGATGTATGTTCCAGTGTTGTTACAGGCCAGAGTTAAGTCATTTATGTATAAAACATTATTCACCTGGAGGTATTTCCAGTCTAAACTCTTAAGAAACAGATCATGACTTCAGACTAAACAGACATGAACTCACACCCACACACTCACACGCAGAAACTAACTTCAGTTAGTTGACAGCAGCTGAGGTCAGAGGTGCTGTGTCTTTATCCATGAAATAGCTCTCTTTCCCCCCCATTATTTATCATTTTGAAACAAGAGAAATGATGTAATTTTTCGGTTTTACCACAGCAATAATGATGTCAACAACACTGTATCTCACTATAAACAGCTTGGGGCACACTAGCTTTTTCTTTAGACTTGAATGAACAGAACTGCTGTTCTCTAAACCTTGCCAGTTGGCCTTGGCTGTAGAGTAAGAGTGCAGCCTTCTGGTGTTCACACTGCTGAGTGATTCTGCAGCGTCCCCTCTCCTACAGAGGAAGAGGAGCTGAGCGCTGGGCTGCCCCATGTGCCAAACTCCCGTCATCTCCATCTGTATTCAGCAACCTGGAAGAGAAAGATATGGACAGATTGTAGCATTACAGAACATTTGGTAGATGTTTACAATCCTCTGGCTGAGCTACTGTTATCTACCTGATGTGAAAACAAACACAGAATACCATTTGAGTTCACCAAGACAATTAATCCAGTTTTTAGATGTTGTGTGGCGTAAGACGCAGAACTCAACGGACACTGGATTTCTGAGGCGAAAACCATTAGTTACCAATCTTGTCACGATAGATTGACAGACACACTTTTAAATTCGGTAAATAAAGAATTGTGACGAAGAAAAGTACTGAGCAGGATATTCTACAGTAAACAAAAAAACTTGTCATCGCCCTCTGGTGGACGAACAGTGTAATGCTGACATCTTACTGCAAATATAGATTAGGAGTTCCCGTGCTGCAGTTTTCTTGTTAATAATCTGCCAATATATAAGATAATACCTTCCAGTTTTTGGCTGCAGCTGACATTTATTTCATTATTTGTTAATCAGTAAATGATTTCTTTGATTAATTAATTGTTTAGTTGATAAAATGTTACAAAACAGTGCAACATCTTAAAATAGCTTGTTTTGTTAAAATAGCTTGTTTTGTTCAACTCAATTATACAAAACAGACAAAAATAGTAAATCCTAAAAACAATCGATTATCAAAATTTTTTGCAAAAGATAAATCCATGATAAGGTAATAGCGGCAGATAATAATGGCCCAACTATTCAACAGCTCTAATAAGTTGCAAACCCATCAGAATAAATGTATTTCTGCCACCAAATAATTATACTCCTGGAAAGTTGCCAGTTTTCTGAAGCTCTTTGAAACTAATGAAAATTAGATATCTATTAAATGGTTCATTTGAAATATACTGCAATTCTTCAGACACCAAAGTACAAGCCATGTGAAAACTGTGGTGCCACCATCACTTTTCAGATCCTAAAGAGAAATCCCTAATAACTGTATGTAATCTGTGAGAAGGGTAGGAGAGGTCTGATGTGACCAGCGGTTTGTTTCCGGTTCGGTGGTGAGTGGACTGAACTCCTGTTCCTGCTGAACTGAGCCAGTGGTTCTATAGGACTGATTATCAGCTCAGTAGGCACAGGAAGCCAGGCCCAAATCTCTGTTCTGTCTTTCTCATGAAGCACTGGCTGGCCACGAACACTTACGTTTTCTTTTTCTTCCTTTTTCTTTCTTTTTTTTTTTTTTGCCGTGTCTGTAATGAAGCAAAGAGCAATGCCAGCTCAGGCTGCATGTCAGGCAGCGTTCCGCTTTGCCAAACCCACAAGAAACCCCACTACTGTAGGTTCATTTGAACTGTTGAGACAGTTGGATTACGCTAGATGGTGAAAGGTGTGGTTGACATGGTAGAAACCTCACCACCGCAGTGTCAGCAAGACCACTGCGGAATGGTAAGATCTATCCAAAGCTACTAGTACACTGTTGGCATAAAAAAAAGACACCTGATCATAAATATCTAACTATATATCCATCAAAATCACATTCCACCACCTTCTGTGAGGAGCATGCAAACATACTGCATTAAATAAAATTGAAAAAGTTACCAACATGAACTTTGAAATAGAATGTAATTCAACAGCTCCCTAAAATATACTTGACATTAAAGAGACAATCAGTCCAGTTTAGTTGCATGAAGAGAAGAAGGTGTGGGTGGTGGGGGCTGAATAAGTTTATTTTTGGTGTCTATACAATGTTGCTTTGTCCTTTGATGTGCAGAGCACCATTTCCCTCCCATTAGAGTGTAATAAATCACCTTTTAGATACGGGCTCTGATCGCAATTCCTCTCTTTTACAGGCCTTTGATGGTCATTACTCTTTTAACAGGCCCTAAATATAGGTCTAAAAATGGCAGGCTCCACATGGCCCTCATTTCTAATTCACACATCTGTCCTCGTTTAGTCGCCATTTTGTCGTTGTGAATATAGAGCGCTATAATACCTCCTCAAGGCTCATTCTGATTGCCAAAAAAAGACTGACCAGTTTTAAAATACATTTTCAGCCATCTGTCACTGTTTTGATTCAATCCGTCCAGAACAGTATAGCTTTGCATTACAATTAGATGGTATGAAACTCTGGCAGACTACGCCCACTTTCATAGCAAAAGTTATATACAGTAAGTTACTGTGGATCAGTATTTTAAACTCGCAGGTCTCAGTCACATATGTTTCATTCTTTGCATGTCTTCCAGCTGCAGATATTGACAGATTGGGTGGTATCTGGTGAGTCGAGTAGGGCAGGAGTTAGACTTTCTGAGATACTTTCTGTTTGGTAGGGAGATGCAAACGGAGTTCGTTGTATAGAAGTTCCAAAACAAATTTACTTCTTGAGACATGTGAGACAGACTGAGATTTATTGGTCATTGTCTCGACAGGCAGTGCAAGGTAAATAGAAACCTGCATGATAAACTGGCTCATATTGCCGAGACAGTTTTTCCTCAGTTTGCATTGTTTTTTGTTATAAAGCTTATCTTGACTGATTTGGGAACCCTCTCTCACTACACAGAAACAAAACATGCTGTGTGACCCAACTGAGAAAGTCTTGCTTTTCTTTATTACTGGGTGTTTTATAGAATCACAGCTTTTTGTTTCTACGATCTGTGACAAAACAATAGAAACGTATATTGCACAGTAAATCCGGGGAGAAGCAGCTAGCCTGGTTCTGTCCAATAGATAACAAAGCTCACAAATAAACAAGTTATATCTAATTTGTTTAATCCAAAAACCCGGAGTCTTGTTGTCACTGTGAGGTCGCCAAGCAACCAACATAGACTCCGGGAAGTCATTGTGTCCGGCCAAGAAACAGTTCTGCACGTAATCTTCCATAAAACCAAAAAGTTGTTTTTACACTTTGGGTTTTTCTGTGGAATAAACAAACAAGATATAAATTGTGGATTAATGAGCTGTAGAGGTGCCGCTTCCTTTGGAAAGAGCCAGACTAGCTGTTTCCCACTGTTTTCAGTCTCTATGCTAAGCTAAGCTAACTGGCTACTGCTTCCAGCTTAATATTGAATAGAGAGTTATGAGAGTGGCACCAAACTCTTCATCTAACTCTTGGCAAAGATAAAGGGCTTTTCATTACTATTCTCCCACAATGCAAAGCAACAAGAAAATTGAGGAGCTGCTCAGAGCTGGGGAAAAAAATGGCAATCATAGTTTAAAGTTGCAGATTGATTGATGTCCTGTTAGTAAGTTACAGTGAAAACAGTCATTATATATATACTATACTAATATACCTATATATATCATATATATATATATATAGTATAACTTAACACAGCATGTATCTACTGTACGAAAGAGAAAATATGTGGGTATGAAGTGATGATGATGAGGGTGATGATGGCGGCCACTGCTCCTGGATTGACGAAATATCTGTCGGCAGCATTAAGCAGCGTTTGGGTCTCCCCAGGCCTCATTAGTACTGCAAGTACAGTCTCTCCCCTGAGGTACTTGGCTCTCACCTTCGCTAGAACTACAGAGCGTGCAACTGGCATCATCTGCAGGATTATCTTTTATACTACGTAACTAAAATGAGATAGAGACGGAGGGGGTGGAAGTACAGAGCAAGGAAGGAAGATGAAAGACGGGAGAAAGAACAACAGACAAAGCAGAGAGCGTAGCGTAACGTGGCGCTCATTAGTAATGTTGCTCGGTGTTTTGAATTCGCAAGGAGGCTTGTGTGTTTAATTCGTCTGGGTGAGAGGGTCTCATTGGAAAGTTTTACAGTCAAGTGAGGCTGGAAGATAGGAGAGCTGTTTGTGCTGCAGTTGGAAGAAGTTGAAGAAAAATATGGGATAAGGCGAGAGGGAGGGGAAGAGTGAAATGAGATAAGAGAAAGATGGGAAAGGTGAAAGAGGGTGCGAGACAATCAAGTAAGGAGTGAGAAAACAGAGGACAAAGGGGAAGGAGTTCTTTGACTGAAATGTATAAGCACACATTAGATAATTAAAGTGGGGAAATAAGGCTCAACTGTACACACACACACATACACACACAACCTCGCCACTGTAAAAACTTAAAAGAACATTTCTTTTCTGTTTCTTTCACACCCACTCATTGTCTTCCTTTGTCTGCTTGTCTGGGTCATGCTCTCCTCAGGTGCAGAACTTAGCCACTGTGAACAAAGAGGAAATCAATCACTGTTCACCAATCAGCTAAGCTCTGTGCCTGGCTGGAGAGAGGATACAAAAAACTGTCTGGCTGACTGACATGTACATGTACATGTACGTACACACACACACACAAAAAAACACCCATAACAAGACCCTCTGGCTCCCTTCATCATCCTTTTTCTTTCTCCGCACTTCCACATCATCATCTCCTCAAACACAATCACACACACTCTTAGATAATCATGTCCTCTTAAGTTTTAAGTTTCTGGGGGACGAGAGAGAGAAGCGTGCGTGTGTGTGTGCGTGTGTGTGTGTGTGTGTGGGAGGGGCTCTGGTTGCCATAGCAGCCGGCTGGGTCAGGGCTGTGTGGTAATCCCTGGCAATGTGATTTTATCATAAGTCACAAATCAGCACGCCAGGAACCCTCACAGCCCAGACATGAAAGAACAAGATCTCCCTCTCTCTCTCTCTCTCTGCCTACATCCTCCAGTCCTGGTCCAGTCCATTGCTAAACTGCACCACCCAGAAATGACAAATCTCTAACTTTCTTTGTTCTCTCTCCCTTATGTCTGCCATCAGAGCGCAGTCATGAAAGACCAGACCTGTAGATCCCCTCTCTCTCCCACTCTATTTTCTTGGTTACCCCTCTCCTCCTCTCCCATTCGCCACGCTTGGCTAACCCGGCGATATGCCCCTCATTAAGCGGATCAAGAGGGATTCCAGAGGCATGTACCAGGGGAAGAAAAGAACGAGAGAGTGAGCAGGGAGGGAAAAGGGAAGGGGGAACTAAAAAAAAAAGGAGACAGGGAGAGACCACCCTTCTCCTTTAAAGGGTTGTGCTTTTTAGGTTTAAAAACACAGAGCAGGGAGTGCGCCTTGACAGACATGTTGTTTTCAGTTAAAACCCTCTCAGCCTGCCTCAGCCTAATCCCACTGTACTGTGGTCTCTGTGTGTGTGTGTGTGTGTCCGTCCGTCTGTCTGTGTGTGTAGGTGTAAAAGGGTACAGGGAGGACTGTTCTACTTAAGAAAGCACGATGGGGGAACACAAACTGAGCGGTAAAACATAAATCCATCTCCCCACAGTGCAATATGCAATAGCAGTGAGGAGGTCTGTTCATCCATCATTTTAATTGGAGAGAGATCTGGACCTGAGCTTGTCTGACCAGCATGATCCATTGATGTTTACAGAGGCTTGTTTGGTTCAATCCAATGGGAAGCAACAGTAAAAGTTGGGATATTCATCTCTAAACGCTTTGTTTCTTCTTTTCTTTTTCTTTTTTGCATTTGCTCCCCCATTTCATTCCTCCTGTACTTGTGGTCAGGCTCCACAGGGAGGTGTACTGAGGAGGTGAAGGATGATGACAAGAGAGCTGCGGGCACAGACAGATAGACGCTACATATGCGTGTGTGTGTGTGTGTGTGTGTGTCAGGGAGATTTATCAGGACTGAGCCAGATGCCGAGCACTTGTCTAGAAAGCCTTTCACATCCTGTGCAAATGCATAAAGCTGTCTCTATATGTGTGCGTGTGCGTGTGTGTGTTTGTCTCTGAAGATAAAAGGCTGTCTTGTAGTGGCTTGGTCACGGCCTAAAAAAGGATTTAGTGCTGTAAGTCGCTCAGGTTGATGGGAACAAGTATTTAGCAGTGCCTCTTGACGCAGCCTGTGTTGACCAAGGTCACAGACGTCTTGTTTGACCTCATAATCACTGAATTCGGAGGGCGAGCTAGATAATAACACAGCTGGTTGATTTCAGAGGTTGGCTCTGAAGTAAAAGGTGGGACATGAAGCAATCAGAATATGTTCAGCAATATGTGTATTTTGCCAGAATCTTACTTAAAATGCCAAAAATATCAAAGTATGATGCAGTTACGTTAAGATGCCATGATATGACCACACACATTTCACCTTTCAGACAAATTTGGAACAATTTTGCTTATGTCACATATGATTTTTCTATTTTTGTATCCTGTCCGAGCTCAAGAATTTCCAGAGATGATCAATATCAGAATCAGAGTTTGATGACAGACGTGGGGGTAGTTTGCTTAAGTTTTCAGCGAGATGCTTCGATCAATAAAATCTGATCAAACACTTAGTCGATTAATCAAGTAGTAGATCAAAAGAAAACTAAACGGTGACTATCTTGGTAATCAATTCATAATTTTCCAAACATTCATTATACATCATGATGAATTAAATGTTGGCCTCTGGCCTGTTGATTGGACAAAAACAAGAAATCTGATGATTAGTGTTTTGGCTGTGAAGCAAAAATTAACTAAGGATGTTTTTTTCTCATTCATTTGATTTGATTGGGGACACTTGTTGCATGCCTTCCTCTTCCCCCCCCCTTTCATATCTGTCTCGACTGTTAAAGCTTTCAATGCAGGAAAACAAAGCATAAAAAATAATTACAAAATATGTTTAGAAATAAAATGATAGAAGCTGTAGATACATTTAATTTTAAAGAGAAAAGTCTGAGTAAGTCAGTATACTGTAGGGTTGGGTTACTGTACTTGAATTGTTGAGCCAAGATCCTTGTAATAGTCTGCTTTCATTATTCAAAGGTTAGTGTCAGTAATTCCAGGACTATTATGACAAGATCAGCAGCTTCAAAGAGACCTGTCTTCACTCCAGTCCTCCCTTCCGCTCTCTCTTCCTCCCTTTTCTGTCCATCTGTCTGTCTAAACCATAAATTTCTCTCTTCCTTTCATTTAGTGAGAGGCCAATAAACCCCTCACTGTTCTGAGTCGTCCAAAAGCCCACGGGTTGACAGTTGTGGTTATGCATACATGCGCGCACGAACACACGCACACGCACACACACGAGGAATTTCAAGGTCAAGAGTATAAAAATCACCCCACATCGAGTAGAGTCCGCCCTGAGCCCCTCAGAAAATGCTTGCTGACCCATTCTCTCTCTTTTTCTCTCTTCCCTCTCTCGTTTGTTTGAGGAACACATTCCCGAATTCCTTCTCTGACAAACACATCCTGACGGCTGCTGTGAAACCACGGAAAAGGCCCCACTCTGAGTCTACAAACACGCACATGTGCGCACACAAGCACACACACGTAGACACACACTCAATGGGCTCAGGAAGGAATGTGCAGTATAGGTAGCCAAGTGACTCAAGTGTGGACTGTCCGCTGGGGCAGATGAAATCAGGATCAATCCAACACAAAACTTTCTTTTACAGAAGCCATTTCAGACTAAAAGGTCAACAATGAGATACAAATACTGACTTTAAAATGTAGAAATACTTAAAAAACTGAAGAATAACAATGATTAGCCCAACATCTTTATATTAAAGGATTAGATGATGCATAACATTTGCTAATAATATTTGCAATACTGACATGTTATTGGTTTTATCTCCACAGATGGTTCAAGTACAATGCACCAGCCAATTCAAAGGCATTTCATTTGAAACTGGACTGTGAATATGAAGCAACTGAAAACCCTGAGCGGATTACTTGGAATCTTATTTTATAAACCTTCACAAATATATTTTTATATTTCATATTCAGCTTGTGTAGACAATTGCTGATGTAATTTCTGTCCATATTCAATGAACCATTAAAATTCTGATGAAATGAGAGCTACACTCATTTTTGGGGTGTTAGAAATTAAAAGTATGATATAGTATATACAGCATGGTTGACATGGTGAATGAAAAACTGAGGACAAGACTTCACCTCCATCGTCATAGGACCATTTCCTCAACCACTGTACGTGCCGATTGGTCCATGTCTTCCTGGACCAATGAGAGGCAGCGACGAGCCAGGGCCTGCTGCTCAGGGTCCTCGTGAACCATCAGCTCCCCGTACAGATACACACCCATGGCCTGGAACACATATGCAATCATATGGTTTTCTCTCATTTTGTAAAGGCTTTTCTCGCAACATGAATCAGTGTTTATGGCAAAAAAAAGTTGCATGTATTTACTTGGTCATGAACCAGAAAGTGTTCCACGTCTCCATAAGCCTGATTGTGTGCATGTTTGACCACCAGCTCACACCAGCGATGTCGGACCTGGAAGCCAAAACAAAGGAAAAAATATAACTATTAATGGAACACAAGTACTTGATATAAAAGTCTTTAAAATGGCCTTGTTATATAACATCACTGCTGTTTGTTATTTCAGAGTTTATGTTGCTGATTCAAAGCTGATGGAGCTGACCACATGAAACAATATGATGTTAGAGGGATAACTTCCTCCTTAACACAGTTCATGTCAATTACAAATAAGCAGAATGGTGTTTTTATGTATTCATTCTTTAAAAAGTTAAAAAGAAATTTTTCTCTTTTTATGCTTTGGGCCAGTGCACTCAAACATTAATGTGAATAGATCTCCCTCAATGCCAGTACCAAAAGACAAACAGCTCATCTGACAAGCTGCAAGACAAAGCTGGAGGCTCCACTGACAATGAATAGATTCATCCAGAATCAGAGGATTAACAGACGTGAACTTTGTTTTAGAAAGGAAGCTATCTCAATCTAAAGTTCATGTTTAAAAGTTCAATTTAATTCTCTGACTGTGTGCGTGTGTTCGCAGTGTGTGTGTATGTGTGTGTGTATAGGTGTGTTTTCACTGTATGTGTGTGTGTGTGTGTGTGTGTGTGTGTGAGAGAGAGAGAGAGAGAGAAAGCTAATGCCTGGCCTTTCTCCCAAAGGATCAATAGGAGCTCTGTTGCCGCGGTTACAGGAGAGATCAGAGACTGGCTCTGTCCCTGCCTCAGCCATCATCCTTCATCATCTGCTATAAGTGTGCACGTGCGCGGGCGTGGATACGCAGTGCACGTGTATATGGATATAGTCTTGTGGAGCAGACAGAGGATGATAAAAGAGACAGAAAAGTGATAAAAAAAATCCAGATGAAGTATCTTTTAAAGCACTGTCACTACTTTAAAGCCTGACAGTTTCCCTTGGCTGTTTTTTGTGGGTGTTTCAATCTCCTCCATAACTATCTCCACACACTCAGGATAATAAACTAGTCCTTTGGAGAGTACAGTGACCAAGCGTGGGATTTTTGGTGATTGATTCTATTTCAGCAGTGTATAGTATGGGAAGGAATAAAAACGTCATAGTATGGTATGGTATAAAAACATCATAGTAAAGTAAGGTATAAAATATAATATCATAGTAATAGTGTAGTATAAATTATAGGGCATAGAGCATAAAAACGTCATAGTATAGTAAGGCAAAAAGAAAAAAAGGCATAGTATAGTATGGCATAGAAAAATGACATAGTTTAGTAAGGCATAAAAAGTCATAAAAACTTAATATTAAAGTAAGGAATAAAAAATTACACAGTATGGTGAGGCATAAAATGTTATAAAAATTTCATAGTAGAGTAAGGCATAAAAAGTCGTAAAAACGTTGAAGAATAGTTAGGCATAAAAAGACATAAAAATGTCATAGTGTAGTAAGGCATTAAAAAAGACAGAATAGTTAGGCATAAAAAGACATAAAAATGTCATAGTGTAGTAAGGCATTAAAAAAGACAGAATAGTTAGGCATAAAAAGACATAAAAATGTCATAGTGTAGTAAGGCATTAAAAAAGACAGAATAGTTAGGCATAAAAAGACATAAAAATGTCATAGTGTAGTAAGGCATTAAAAAAGACAGAATAGTTAGGCATAAAAAGACATAAAAATGTCATAGTGTAGTAAGGCATTAAAAAAGACAGAATAGTTAGGCATAAAAAGACATAAAAATGTCATAGTGTAGTAAGGCATTAAAAAAGACAGAATAGTTAGGCATAAAAAGACATAAAAATGTCATAGTGTAGTAAGGCATTAAAAAAGACAGAATAGTTAGGCATAAAAAGACATAAAAATGTCATAGTGTAGTAAGGCATTAAAAAAGACAGAATAGTTAGGCATAAAAAGACATAAAAATGTCATAGTGTAGTAAGGCATTAAAAAAGACAGAATAGTTAGGCATAAAAAGACATAAAAATGTCATAGTGTAGTAAGGCATTAAAAAAGACAGAATAGTTAGGCATAAAAAGACATAAAAATGTCATAGTGTAGTAAGGCATTAAAAAAGACAGAATAGTTAGGCATAAAAAGACATAAAAATGTCATAGTGTAGTAAGGCATTAAAAAAGACAGAATAGTTAGGCATAAAAAGACATAAAAATGTCATAGTGTAGTAAGGCATTAAAAAAGACAGAATAGTTAGGCATAAAAAGACATAAAAATGTCATAGTGTAGTAAGGCATTAAAAAAGACAGAATAGTTAGGCATAAAAAGACATAAAAATGTCATAGTGTAGTAAGGCATTAAAAAAGACAGAATAGTTAGGCATAAAAAGACATAAAAATGTCATAGTGTAGTAAGGCATTAAAAAAGACAGAATAGTTAGGCATAAAAAGACATAAAAATGTCATAGTGTAGTAAGGCATTAAAAAAGACAGAATAGTTAGGCATAAAAAGACATAAAAATGTCATAGTGTAGTAAGGCATTAAAAAAGACAGAATAGTTAGGCATAAAAAGACATAAAAATGTCATAGTGTAGTAAGGCATTAAAAAAGACAGAATAGTTAGGCATAAAAAGACATAAAAATGTCATAGTGTAGTAAGGCATTAAAAAAGACAGAATAGTTAGGCATAAAAAGACATAAAAATGTCATAGTGTAGTAAGGCATTAAAAAAGACAGAATAGTTAGGCATAAAAAGACATAAAAATGTCATAGTGTAGTAAGGCATTAAAAAAGACAGAATAGTTAGGCATAAAAAGACATAAAAATGTCATAGTGTAGTAAGGCATTAAAAAAGACAGAATAGTTAGGCATAAAAAGACATAAAAATGTCATAGTGTAGTAAGGCATTAAAAAAGACAGAATAGTTAGGCATAAAAAGACATAAAAATGTCATAGTGTAGTAAGGCATTAAAAAAGACAGAATAGTTAGGCATAAAAAGACATAAAAATGTCATAGTGTAGTAAGGCATTAAAAAAGACAGAATAGTTAGGCATAAAAAGACATAAAAATGTCATAGTGTAGTAAGGCATTAAAAAAGACAGAATAGTTAGGCATAAAAAGACATAAAAATGTCATAGTGTAGTAAGGCATTAAAAAAGACAGAATAGTTAGGCATAAAAAGACATAAAAATGTCATAGTGTAGTAAGGCATTAAAAAAGACAGAATAGTTAGGCATAAAAAGACATAAAAATGTCATAGTGTAGTAAGGCATTAAAAAAGACAGAATAGTTAGGCATAAAAAGACATAAAAATGTCATAGTGTAGTAAGGCATTAAAAAAGACAGAATAGTTAGGCATAAAAAGACATAAAAATGTCATAGTGTAGTAAGGCATTAAAAAAGACAGAATAGTTAGGCATAAAAAGACATAAAAATGTCATAGTGTAGTAAGGCATTAAAAAAGACAGAATAGTTAGGCATAAAAAGACATAAAAATGTCATAGTGTAGTAAGGCATTAAAAAAGACAGAATAGTTAGGCATAAAAAGACATAAAAATGTCATAGTGTAGTAAGGCATTAAAAAAGACAGAATAGTTAGGCATAAAAAGACATAAAAATGTCATAGTGTAGTAAGGCATTAAAAAAGACAGAATAGTTAGGCATAAAAAGACATAAAAATGTCATAGTGTAGTAAGGCATTAAAAAAGACAGAATAGTTAGGCATAAAAAGACATAAAAATGTCATAGTGTAGTAAGGCATTAAAAAAGACAGAATAGTTAGGCATAAAAAGACATAAAAATGTCATAGTGTAGTAAGGCATTAAAAAAGACAGAATAGTTAGGCATAAAAAGACATAAAAATGTCATAGTGTAGTAAGGCATTAAAAAAGACAGAATAGTTAGGCATAAAAAGACATAAAAATGTCATAGTGTAGTAAGGCATTAAAAAAGACAGAATAGTTAGGCATAAAAAGACATAAAAATGTCATAGTGTAGTAAGGCATTAAAAAAGACAGAATAGTTAGGCATAAAAAGACATAAAAATGTCATAGTGTAGTAAGGCATTAAAAAAGACAGAATAGTTAGGCATAAAAAGACATAAAAATGTCATAGTGTAGTAAGGCATTAAAAAAGACAGAATAGTTAGGCATAAAAAGACATAAAAATGTCATAGTGTAGTAAGGCATTAAAAAAGACAGAATAGTTAGGCATAAAAAGACATAAAAATGTCATAGTGTAGTAAGGCATTAAAAAAGACAGAATAGTTAGGCATAAAAAGACATAAAAATGTCATAGTGTAGTAAGGCATTAAAAAAGACAGAATAGTTAGGCATAAAAAGACATAAAAATGTCATAGTGTAGTAAGGCATTAAAAAAGACAGAATAGTTAGGCATAAAAAGACATAAAAATGTCATAGTGTAGTAAGGCATTAAAAAAGACAGAATAGTTAGGCATAAAAAGACATAAAAATGTCATAGTGTAGTAAGGCATTAAAAAAGACAGAATAGTTAGGCATAAAAAGACATAAAAATGTCATAGTGTAGTAAGGCATTAAAAAAGACAGAATAGTTAGGCATAAAAAGACATAAAAATGTCATAGTGTAGTAAGGCATTAAAAAAGACAGAATAGTTAGGCATAAAAAGACATAAAAATGTCATAGTGTAGTAAGGCATTAAAAAAGACAGAATAGTTAGGCATAAAAAGACATAAAAATGTCATAGTGTAGTAAGGCATTAAAAAAGACAGAATAGTTAGGCATAAAAAGACATAAAAATGTCATAGTGTAGTAAGGCATTAAAAAAGACAGAATAGTTAGGCATAAAAAGACATAAAAATGTCATAGTGTAGTAAGGCATTAAAAAAGACAGAATAGTTAGGCATAAAAAGACATAAAAATGTCATAGTGTAGTAAGGCATTAAAAAAGACAGAATAGTTAGGCATAAAAAGACATAAAAATGTCATAGTGTAGTAAGGCATTAAAAAAGACAGAATAGTTAGGCATAAAAAGACATAAAAATGTCATAGTGTAGTAAGGCATTAAAAAAGACAGAATAGTTAGGCATAAAAAGACATAAAAATGTCATAGTGTAGTAAGGCA